AATAAACCTAAGTAGAGGAATTTTAAAGTGAACACAGACAATATTGAAATTCTCCCATTAGTTTTTTTTTTATTTTTAATCTTAATTACATTTTATTATATTCAGTGGTATGCAGTTTCAAAAGGAGAAGTTGTCTTGACTCAAAACCAAAAGATTAAGTTATCAGATATCTGCTCTTCAGTAAATAGTAGGAGGTGTTTGTATGTGTGTACATGTGTTTAAACCGTTTGCCAGGATATTCAAGAGTTGACATTTTAATGTTAAATTTTAATTCTCTGCAGAATTATCATTGCCTGATCAGGGCTGGTACGAGTTCCCAGGTCTTCAGGAATAATGCTTTCATGGAAAGAGTTAAGAAGGATGGCTCGCTGCAGGGATAAGGAAATGGGGGGAGAAGAGCCCTTTAGCCACATAAGCAAAATCTATATTCATTTGAGAAACATCTCAGACAGGCCCTTTTCTACACAAGAGACCTATTCTCTATTGAATTTGAAGTCGCCAAGCTCAGCATGGGCACCAGACATCCCATTTCTGTTTACTTTTCACTTGGAAAGGAAGGGTGAAAACATAACCCAAAACCAAAAATGAAAGTGAAATACTTGGAGCCTCAAATACAGATCTCTGGTATTGCCAATGAAGTCTAGATTCACATGCTTTAAAAAAACCAGCTTGGGGAATGTTCTGTTATGAAAGTTGAGACTCTTCCTGGCGCACATGCCACCCCAGGCCAGGCAAAGTCTTGCTCAGACAACAGCCCTTGCTGTCAGTCCGGCAGGCTTTAGGCAGTCCTTCTCAGACTTGGCTATGCTTACAGTCACCTGGGGAGCTTCTACAGTGGGCAACCACAGGGCAGCAATGCAGACAGCTGGAATCAGAACTTTTGAGGTTGGATTTAACGTCACTGTTTGTAAAACTACCCAAGTGACTCCAATATGTTGGCTTTTGTGAATTTATTAGCACACAGGTGCTGATCGTGAAGGGAGTCAGAAGTGCTCCTACTTTCCCTATTCAAAGGCTCGCTGATGGTTTGCCATTGGGAAGCACCATCAAAACATGCCGCTGTTGGAGCCCACTCCAGACCCATGACATCAGAGTCTCTGGGGCTTGGGACAGGCAATGCTCTCATTTATAAAGCGAAGTGGTTGGGCTGACTGGTCCTCAACAACCTTTTTGTTTTCAAACCATAGGATTCCATAAGAGGGTTTGATGTAAACTAGGTGATAATATAACCGAGTACTCCATTTTTTTCTAAGTAAAAGGGAATGTTGCAATTATTTTTAAAATTATTTTGTCTTTTCTCCTTTCCTCTTGTGCCCTACTTTCTACTTAGTCCTTTAGAAATGCAAATCTCACCTTTTACCTCCCCTTCACCAGACATTCTTTACAGGGTAAGTTCGTCTAACTATATGCTCCAAGACAGAACTCTCTAGAGAGTTAACAGCCGATTTACAGCCCAAAGCATGACCTCCATGGAACTCTCACCCTCCAGGGGGTTGCCATGGAACTCACCCTCCAGGAAGGCAGGTTGAACGCCTGCCCACTACCCTCTCCCACCTAGAGAGTTTTAGGTCACTTTTTCAACCTATTTCTGCCTATGAAAGTGCCAACTCAACTGCCCGATAGATTAGGCACCAACCATGCCAGCATGCAGAACCCCCTGCCCTTGCTCATTTCCTCCCCTGCCTTTTAAAAGTGCCTGCTTTCTGCTCCAAAAGCAAAGCAGTGCATTTACTATTTATTTATTTACTTAGAGAGAGTCTCACTCTGTCATCCAGGCTGGAGTACAGTGGCAAGATGTTGGCTCACTGCAACCTCCACCTCCCAGGTTCAAGCGATTCTCCTGCCTCAGCCTCCCGAGTAGCTGGGATTACAGGCGTCTGCCACCATGCCTGGCTAATTTTTCGTATTTTTAGTAGAGTCGGGGGTTTCACTATATTGGCCAGGCCGGTCTCGAACTCCTGACCTCAAGTGATCCACCCTCCTTGGCCTCTCAAAGTGCTGGGATTACAGGCATGAGCCGCCATGCCCAGCAAAGCAGTGCATTTAGAGGCAGGAGCCTGCATGTTTTCCCTGAAGGAGGTTTAGAATAAATCATTTGCTTTATACCTGACCTCACTCTTGTTAAATTGGATTCTGCAAGCAACGAGTTACTAATCTGCAGTTCAGTTACATAAACAATAATAGAGAAAGGAGAGTGCGAATGATAAAGAAATTTACCAACATCAAATCACATTTGATTATTTCAAACACTTGGTACCCACAACCATCAGATATACAGGATCATAGAGAGAAACAAGGGAGGAGCTTGGAGCATTTTATGCGTTATGAAAAATGCTTAGTCACAAAACACTTTCTGATCTTGTTGCAGGGTCATGAGATCAGCACACTGCAGAGATTGGTCTGGGTGTTGGAACCTTCATTCCACAACAGGCATCAACCTGTATCCCCAATGGAGACTCCTCTCGGTCTTCAAAAATGATGAATGTGAGCTGTGCACTACCTACCCTGAGCTGCTGTGGAAATACCTCTTTTTCACAACTGGAATGGTGCCGGCAGAGACAAACATTAAACAGCTGAATGTGAAAAGCCTCCTCGCGTGTCTTCTCCATGGCCAAGGCTGGAGGTTGAACACCCTTGCTCGTTTGCCAGTGTGGCCTCGCGGGGGCAGTATGACCCAAGGCTTGCCATGGCTTCCTAGCTTGAAAGATTCACACTTTTCCATGAATGCTTTAAAAAAAACTAGTGACCACCCAGAGAAACAAAAATAAGTCCCCAAAACACGACAGAATCACGACAACACAAAACGGATTATCAAACTATGTAGTAACAATAAGGAGGCAAATAGAAGTCAGACTTGTAAAATTGCTTATAGAAAATTAGGAAGGAAATAGATATTATATGCATGCATATTAATATAAAGATATAGTGTATGTCATATGACATTATATATTAATTATATAAAATATGTATTTGTATATAGAATCTTAAATATTAAAAGTTGACTCTGTTTTGGAAAAATACAAGCAACTTTTGCAGTGAATTTTATTTCAAAGTAAAGGAGCTATCGAAATGTTTTCAGGTTTTTTCCTCTTCTGTTCAGCCTCATCCCTGAGGGTTGTGGAAAATCTCTACATACTCTGACGATAAGTAAGTGGATGTGTTAACAAGCTATAAGGAATGGCAGTTACAAAGTTCATGATTTGTTGGCGGGGCGTGGTGGCTCAAGCCTGTAATCCCAGCACTTTGGGAGGCCAAGGCGGGCGGATCATGAGGTCAGGAGATCAAGACCATCCTGGCTAACATGGTGAAACCCCATCTCTACTAAAAATACAAAAAATTCCCCGGGCATGGTGGTGCACACCTGTAGTCCCAGCTACTCGGGAGGCTGAGGCAGGAGAATCACTTGAATCTGGAAGGCGCTGGTTACAGTGAGCCGAGATCGCACCACTGCACTCCAGCCTGGGCAACAGAGCAAGACTCCATCTCAAAAAAAAAAAAAAAAAAAAGGAAAGTTCGTGATTTGTTTTCCAGTTCACATTTCTGCTTCCAGCCCCCAAGGTAGTTGGTGGTAATTCTTATGCTTTCATTAGAAGTGTTAACACTTGAACAGTTAATGTTTGCATTTGGAACTCTATCTCTCCCCCGATAGAAAATAAATGATTTGTAAATTTAATCGTTACAGTGGAAATGCCAGTGCATCTTAATTTATTCAGAGCGATTTAAACTAAGAACCCCTGGAGTACAAAAACGTAAACAGAATCCTAGTTTCTGAATTTGCACACTATTCTTTCTTGTTAAGGACAGTCACCTCTACTTTGACTTTATCCATGGCATGCAATCTCTTCTTTGATAGGGACCTCTGGGTGAGACAAAAGGTACATTCACTCCAGAGATGGTGAATAAAGTCAGATCCTGAAGGTCGCGAGTTGAAACTCCAAGGAGTAAAGACATGGGCCTGGGGAGATAATGGGAATGGGCTCTGGAAAGGCTGGCAACACTGAAAATAGCTTTTCTTTGTGCTAACATTGGAAGGCGTTTAATAAGATGGAAAAGGAAAAGCAGCAATTGACATGGCTGCATTTATGTCAGCCATAAAAGCTGACACCTTCCAATCTGCCTGCCACACTGCCTTCTTCCTATGGGATGGATCTCCCTTCTCCATGGTCCCTTCCTTCTACCCTAACCCCAGCCTCCTCCTGCCCTTCCTTGCTTCATTCTACCTTTTAGCCTAAGAGATGAAAGGCAATCCTTCAAGTCTGGGTAGGGAGGAGCTGCCCTTCTAGTCAGATCCAGCTATTCTGTCTTCTGCTCATTTCATGCACCTCCAAATAGGACCACGGGCAGCTCTTGCATCTGCTGCCCATGACCTGCGCTGGGAGATGAGTGTGCAGTGACTGAAAACCAGCATGTTCAAGATGTGAACGTGACCCAGACGGGTCCCCTCCACCTGGAGCACCTGTCCTCTCTCAGGGTAAGAGACTCCTGCACATAAATCCAAATGTACATGATTGTCATCATTGCAATTAGAGTTAAGTTTTGGGGAGGGATTTTAAATGAAAGAAAAGCATATCCTCATTCTCACGTGTGATGTGCCTACAACACAGGGCTGCGGGTAAGTGACCAGGCCATGACGTTGCATGTCTTCTTCATTTTCAAACATAGACAACTGATTTATGGCACCGATTCTCTTTTTTAAAACATGGCAATTCTTTTGAGTAGTGGAATTAAAATTTGAATTTTAAAAGTTTTCAAGTCAATTGCTCAACAACCCTACTCTTAGAGGTATCATCTGTAAATACAAACTATTCTGGCAATTTGTCTCAGGAAAACAGTGAATTTTAAAAATTATTTAAAAGAAAATACAAAAATACAATTATCTCTCTCTTTGCCTACACCACACACACACTAAGGAAGAAGACAGCTACTTATAAAATACTTTGGCAGTTTTATGTGCTATTATCTAAATGTACACTGAAAGAGCGAGAATATAATGAATTATGTTAGAAGGTTTTTTTATTAGATGCATATTTTCTTTCAAGCAACTTGTAACTTTCATATACACAAGAATATGCAAATACTAAGATGTCAGAATGTCTTTGACTTGGCCCAGAGGGTAGGGTCCTCTACTACTCTTACACTTTCCACAACTTAAGAGCAAAAGGAAAGACATTTCCCTTCATTGCTTCCTGCTGACAGCCACAATGCTGACTGTTCATATTCAGAGGCTGAGAAAGTCAGTAGCGCCTCTTATTATTCTGACACCTTCATTCCCTGAGTGGTTCTCACCACTTCCTATTCCCTCACCTTATCTATATACTATAATGGTTTTAACCATCCCCGAAATTCAAAACAATCTCAAGTATGTGCACAATCATAAAAGAAGCAACAGAAAACAACCTCTTTCCCTTTGAAATGAATATATCAAAACACTAAGGGGTGTATTCATTTCCAAGGGAGAGAGAGAGGTTCTTCTGTTGCTTCTGGTTTGTCTGGAGAAGGCATCTGGAATGAGTACCTAAGGGTTTGAAATGAATATACCAAAACACTAAGGGGTGTATTCATTTCCAAGGGAGAGAGAGAGGTTTCTTCTGTTGCTTCTGGTTTGTCTGGAGAAGGCATCTGGAATGAGTACCTAAGGGCCCCGCCCCCAACCCCTTCAGCCTGCAATACAGAGGCTGGTAAATTGTACTTTTTGTGAGTTTTAAGGCTCAAGGCAGCTTGTTTCCAAATGAATATGTCCCTTCCCCCCTTTGCCTATTGATGGTTAAATGCAGAAAATGATACCTACACTGGTGTGCACTGGGCAGGCAGCATCTTAGTTTTTCAGGCTTCCCTCACCTCTATGGGACCTCTTTGCTCAATGCTTTGCTCAATGCTATCCCTGAATGAGTAACTAAGAGTTTGATGCTTGTTGAATGTGTAGTATGTGCTAAACACTGCCTGTGGTTGCCTCATAGAATCCTCCCAACAACCCATGAAATGACTACTAGGTAATCAATCCTCACCTAGATCTCATGTGTGAGCTGAAGTATGTTCCTAGTCCTCACACCTCATGTATTCATAAATCTAGTCTCCTCCTGGAGACCCCTCGGTATTTGAGCTGGGATGGGAAGGAACTCTCTGAAGTCAGAAGCATTCAGTGAAAGACAGCCTGGAGTCTGGGTGAGACTATGTTCAAACTCTGCAAACCAGAACCATCCTTTTACACCAATCCCTCTTCTTCTTGACCTAAACCTCCTCCTCCTCCTTCTGTGCTTGATGTCTTTTCAAGGGCTTCTCCAATCTGCTTGAAGGCTAGGGCTTCTTGGCTAGGGCTTCTCCCTGAATCTTCTCTGCCCCTCAGCTTCAACCCAAATCCACCCCAGTTCTGCTGACTCCATATCCTCATATGCTGCATGAATACCTCCCTCCTTCCCATCCTCAAGCCTTGAGCTTAGTGGAGGCCATCCTCACCCTGACCTGAAGGCTGTTGCTGGTCTCCTTGCCCTAAATGCTCATCCTTCCTCACCCTCCTTTGGCCACAGAATAAATCTTCTGCAACACCAACCAGGATCTCCCTGCTCAGCTCATGACTTAGATGGAGCAACGCCATCAAGGTTCTTCACGATCTAGCCTTGTCCTTCTTCCCCAGGTCTTCCCAACCAGCTCTGTCTCCTTCTACATCCAAGCTTGCCCATGCAGTGCTTGCAGTGAGGCTTCTGTCTCTGCCAGCAATAGATGATCCAACTCAAATTCCTTCTTATTTAAGAGGCTTTCCCAGCTCTCCCAGGCCACAAGACTCTCACCTGGTTCTAAAAGTCAGTGAAACTTATTAAGCATACCTTGGAGGGGAAATCACACATGAAAGGTGTCATTTCTTAACTGATCATATCCATGTCTTTTCTCCCCACAGCAAGACAAAGACCTGTTTTAAACACATTTACAACCTATATGTTGCCTTGTACAAGGTAAAAAGTTGTACATTTCTGAAATAATTTTGGTATTTCTGTCCAGGTCACTAAACTCAAGAATCCGCAATTCTCTGAGGCTTTCTTTTTAATATATATAAGGAACTTTTGGAGAGAAGGGAGAGTTTGTCAATAACTTGATGCATGTGAAGGAGAGATAAAAAGGTTGCTATTTTTCATCAACATATTTTGATTTGGCTTTCTATAATTGATGGGCTTAAAAGATCAAATCTGCTTTAAACAGATGCCAAATAAATGGATGAATCTTAGACCTTCTGTAACAGTAACTTCCTTTTGAAAAAGACCTCTCCCACCCCACCCCCAGCCCAGGCTGTGTATCAACACCAAGTCATGTGCACAACTCTGACTGGGTCACCGGCACACTTGAGTCCGGGTCACAAGCCCACAGATGTTTCCTGCTCCCCAGTGGATCGGGTGTAAACTGAACTTGCTCGCTCGGGAGCCTCTTGCTGGAAAATGGAACAGCATTTGCAGAAGCGTTTGGCAATGTGCTTTTGGAAGAAGACTAAGAGGTAGTTTCTGAACTTCTCCCCGACGAAGGCATAGATGATGGGGTTGATGCAGCAGTGTGTCATCCCAAGAGTCTCTGTCACCTGCATGGCTTGGTCCAACCTGTTAGAGCTACTGCAATTATTCAGGCCAAAGAATTCCTGGAAGGTGTTCAGGAGAAGGACAATGTTGTAGGGAGCCCAGAAGAGAAAATAAACAATCATGATGGTGAAGATGAGCCTCACAGCCCTGTGCCTCTTCTTCTCGTTTCGACACCGAAGCAGAGTTTTCAGGATTCCCGAGTAGCAGATGACCATGACAAGCAGCGGCAGGACCAGCCCCAAGATGACTATCTTTAATGTCTGGAAATTCTTCCAGAATTGATACTGACTGTATGGAAAATGAGAGCTGCAGGTGTAATGAAGACCTTCTCTCTGAGATCTGGTAAAGATGATTCCTGGGAGAGAGGCAAACACAGCCACCACCCAAGTGATCACACTTGTCACCACCCCAAAGGTGACTGTCCTGGCTTTTAAAGCAAACACAGCATGGACGATAGCCAGGTACCTATCGATTGTCAGGAGGATGATGAAGAAGATTCCAGAGAAGAAGCCTATAAAATAGAGCCCTGTCAAGAGTTGACACATTGTATTTCCAAAGTCCCACTGGGCAGCAGCATAGTGAGCCCAGAAGGGGACAGTAAGAAGGAAAAGCAGGTCAGAGATGGCCAGGTTGAGCAGGTAGATGTCAGTCATGCTTTTCAGCCTTTTGCAGTTTATCAGGATGAGGACGACCAGTATGTTGCCCACAAAACCAAAGATGAACACCAGTGAGTAGAGCGGAGGCAGGAGGCGGGCTGCGATTTGCTTCACGTTGATTTTTTGGCAGGGCTCCGATGTATAATAATCGATGTCATAGGTTGGACTTGACACTTGATAATCCATCTTGTTCCACCCTGTGAATAAGTAGAAAGTGATCTTTTATAAAGCCCTAGAAAGTATTTAGTGGCCCACCATGAATGCAAACAGTTTTATACATCAATAGGTTTTTAATTCCATACATAGATGTCTACATTGGATGAACTCCCTTTTTGGCCAAACAATGAAGTTTGGTAGTGAAGGGGAGGTTTGCTGCCAGTTTCCCGCTCACTAGATGGAGAACTTGGCTCTGTTGGGGGAATTCATGAAAGCACCATCTCACCAAATAAAATCTTGTGCTCTATAGCGCCACGGAGTGAATGAAGCTCTGATAACAATTTTAAGAAACTGGGTCAAGCATGGTGCAGCTCAGCATTTTTGTTGTTGCTGTTGTCGTCGTTGTTTTGAGACAGGGTCTCACTCTGTCGCTCAGGCTGGAGTGCAGTGGCTCAATCATGGCTCACTACAGCCTGGACCTCCCGGGCTCAAGCAATCCTCTCACCTCACCTTTCCAAGTGGCTGGGGACTACAGGTGCCACCACACCTGTAACAGCTAATTTTGTTTATTTTTATTTTTATTTATTTATTTATTTATTTTTTTGAGACGGAGTCTTGCTCTTTTGCCCAGGCTGGAGTGCAGTGGCGTGATCTCAACTCACTGCAAGCTCCCCCTCCCGGGTTCACGCCATTCTCCTGCCTCAGCCTCCTGAGTAGCTGGGACTACAGGCACCCATCACCACACCGGGCTAATTTTGTTTTTGTATTTTTAGTAGAGATGGGGTTTCACCGTGTTAGCCAGGATGGTCTCCATCTCCTGACCCTGTGATCCGCCTGCCTTGGCCTCCCAAAGTGCTGGGATTACAGGCGTAAGCCACCACGCCTGGCCTAATTTTGTTTATTTTTATAGAGACAAGATCACAATTATGTTGCCCAGGCTGGTCTCGAACTCCTGGGCTTAAGAAATTCTCCTGCCTCAGCCTCCTAGAATGCTGGGATTGCAAGCATGAGCCACCATGCCCGGCTGCAACTGAGTCTTAAGATTTTTATTGACGCTGCCATTCTCTGGAGTTAGTCCACAAAGAGCATGCACTATGAGCAAGCCAGTAATAATTAAGAGACCTCGAGGGCACATACTGGATGCAAATCACTGTCTAAGAGTCATACCCATTCATTCATTTAATCCTCAGGGCAACCTTATGAGGCAGGAAATATTTTTCACATTTTGCAGACAAGGACCTTGAAGCATACAGAGGGCGAGTAACTTGCTCAAAGCCACCCAGCTGGGAAGCAACTGATTTTGAATGCGGGAAGCCTGCACTCTTAACTACCATGCTACCCTCCCTCTCACTCCTGGAAAAGAGAATTAAAAGGCAAGACCATCAGATGTTCGGTGCTGTGATACAGTCAGAGTGAAATGGCCAGACGCCCAAGTCCCCCGAGAAGGTCATAGACGCCAACAGAGAATTGTAAAATCCTCACACTTTCTGTGAAGTTTGTGTTTGTAGTTTCTGAGTTACCACAATTAAGAGTTTTCATACACACCCAAGAAATAATAAAATAAAAAAAAGTTTCGTCTGCCACCACAGATGAATGTCATGCATTCTGGGTAGTTTAGTCTTATAACCAGCTGGCTTGCCTAGTCTATTTAAGTTCAGCTGCTCTAGCTGAGAATTTTCTCTTATTAAATCCTGTGAGTCTCAAACTCCCTGCATCTTAGATTAGGCAGCTGGGAGAAGCCCCTAGAAAAGCTCACTTTTAATTTTGAGCCATAAAGAATTATATACTAACTGTGCCATGAAACTGATATATTAGAGGAAAATTTTATCTGATGTTTGTAATTTGATATTAATTTGGACCATTTTTAGGCTTCCCTCTTGTCTGGAGGAAAAAGGAAAAAGAGAACCAGACTTAGACACAACTTCTTGTGGGCACATATTCAGAAGGCATTTCACTGGACAGGGTTTAGTTCTCCTTAGCAGAAGATAAGATTTCAAGATTTCAACTAAGACTCATCTCTCTGCAAATCTTTCTTTTGAGAGGTAAGGACTGTTAGTTACTAAAATACTATTGCTCCCTTTAAAGTCTTTCACTCACAATCATGTTTTGTATCTTTGATGTTATAACAATCTGACACTCATTCTAAACTCTGACCCTTTCCTCATCTTAAAGATTATATTTTAAGATAATTGTATGAGCGCTTTGTGTTTGCCAAATGTCCTCTATGGGTTTCCTGTTAAGGCTTTTACTCATCTCAGAAGCTAACTAATAGGCCAAGCAGCTGAGGTTACTTACCGGGGAGAGTTTCTTGTAGGGGAACGGATGTCGCAGCTCTTCTGGCAGATGAGTTGTGCAAATCAATCATATAGACAGTATAAATGTAGGAAATGCTGTTTCTTTTGAAGGAGGGCGGAGTTAAATAATTGAGTATTGAAGGCGAAAAGAATCAGAGAACAGTTCTTCTTTTCAAGTTGAGCTTAAAATAGGCTAGAGAGTAGATCTCGGGTCTGAAAGTTTATTCATGGGCTTTCCTCACTGGATTATTTTGTTTTTGTTCTTTGCTCATCCAACTACACAGAATCTGTTAGAAAATATAAAGGATAAAGGATATTAGAGCTAGAAGAACATTTACATGCATCTAGTCAAAAGCCTACATTTGAGTAAAAGAAATTACTATCCAAGAAGCAAATGATTTGTACAAGATCACAGGGCTTTTCAACAGTAAAACTAAAAAGGTAAGAAAATTCTGATTATCTTAAGAGTTGCCATCAATTGAAGCCAACTTAAACCAACTTTAAATGTAGAGGGGGATCCTGGACTTCATATTAACCCTGTGCCCCCTTTTTCTCCACTCTCCCCATATCCCCTATCCCACTCCCCATACACATGAACTCATCACCCAATATTACTCCGTAAACGAAAACAACCTGTTGTCTAAAGAGTTTTAACTATACGCTTGTGGGTGAGCTAACCAGGTTTCCCATCTTTTTCTGGACTCAGGATCTTAGTGGGAATTTTCACTGTTCACTATTTTGTGGCCCTTCAGACCAGTACGCATTTATGAGGACTCACACTATGCCAGGTACATAGCTGGCAGGATTCTTCACCCCAGATACAATCTACCTGGAGCTATGAGAAATTTTCCACATGGCAGAAGTATATGGTCAAGTTCAGGTTCTTTATGACAATAATATATACAGTCATATCAAGCTCTCTTGGTGGTTGGTGACATCTGAAAATCTCAAGTATTGTCAGCAGATCTCGGAAGACAGCAGAGAGCTACTCCTGAGCCACAAGATGCCCTTCTGGGCTTCCGTGACCAAATAAAAAGCTTTGGCTTGTGATCTCTAAGAAGGTAAAGGAGACCCCAAACAGCAAAATTATATGCCCCCAAACCTACAGAGGCAGCCTAACCCAGGGGTTAAGCCAGAGGCCTCTGTAGTCAGACTGCCAAGCTTGAAACCTGTCTGACCCTCAGCTTTCTCATCTGGGTGTTGGGCTGAATGACAGTAGTCATTTCATGGGTTGTTGGGAGGATTCTATGAGGCATCCACAGCCAGCATCTAGCACATACTATACACTCAGTAAACATTAAACTCTTAGTTACTCTTTCAGTAATCCTGCGTCAGAGAGAGTTTATTTGATTAAACCCTAGTAAAATTGTTTCACTGGAGTCTCTGTCTATAGCAGATTAGTTTCAGCAAACTAGAAGCTGAAAAGGTGAAGCTCATTGCTGGGGTGCTTGGAGAATAGAAAGAAATGACTGCTTGGGAAAAGCCAGAAAAGTACAGAAATAGCCCAGCGAGCAAGACACCCCACCCCCACCCCACGTAGGGACATATGTCTCTGTTACAACAGAGCTCAGTAACTGGTAATCATAATAAGGACAGTGAATCATCAAGAAAATGTTCTAGTTCATCCCATATGTGCAATTCAAAAGGCATTGATTAAGAACTGTAGTCATGCTGCTGGGTTTAACCTCCAGCGTCATTACTACTACTTGGCTTTGACCAAATTATTGAAGCTCTCTGCCTTAGTTTTCTTAACTGTAGAGTGGAGGTTTTAAAAAACCCAAATACAAACTTACTCAATACGCCTGCGGGATGGAATGATACAGGTGTAGAGGCTTTCAGGCACCCGCCCTCAGGCGGCTGTTTAAGCAGGGAAATATAGAGTGCTTTTGAAAGAGTTCAAAAATAGGTAACAAATACATTAATACAAAATTTTATAGAAAATAGATAACATAAATACGACTTTGGTTTTTAGAAAGATAGCCTTGTATTCACTGGTAATCCACTTGTGCAGAACTGCTGGAGGCTGCCGGACCAACACTGTATTTCTGTTTGTGACATTGCTGGTTCTTACTTTCACCACGCAGAGCTGAGGCTTTGCCATGTTCTGCGTGTTTGTCATTAGGGTAGTGGAGGATGTGAAGACGTGCTCACCCCCAGAGGGCAATGTGGGCTAGCAGAGCAGGCTCGGAGTCACACAGGCTGTGCTGCTGACTTACTGTGTGACCTTGGCAAGATACTTCCACTGCCCAAGCTTCCATTTCCTCATCTGTTAAATGACGTGCTAGACCTGGGGCAGCTTCCACCCTAAATACTACATGACTCCATGGACAAGTTGGTTTGAAAAATATATACTAGATGGGAAACAAGGTGAGGATTCATAGCCCGAAACAAGGAAGCACAGCTTTGCAGTATGTGTTACTCCACTTTTGGGTTTCTGGTCCAGAGATGTATTCTAGTAATCACTTAGGACAGGGGGGTTCAGCCCAAGGATTCACAAGAAAGTGGGGACCCATGGGAAATTCTTCAGCATTTAAATAAAATGTTGTTCTGGATACAATAATGACAACAAGCCAGCAGCTTATCACGCTGTGATTTAGTTGCTTGGTGTCTGCTACTTTTTCTACTTTGTCCTTCTCAGTTTGCATGGCTCTTGTTCTCTTTTTATTATTAAATACGTTCAGACTCCCCATGGGAAATGAACTTTTGATCAGTTTGTCACTCTAGACTCCATGCCCATATTGGAGGGTGTTTTGTGCCATCCCTCCTTTTTGGGACCTTTTTGTCTTTAAGCAGGTGCTCCATGTCTAGTCGCTGTACCTATGTTCTAAGCGTTGCTTTGCTTTCTCCTTGCCCACACCATTTCTGGACCATATTTTCAGACCATCAGACCAACAGGATGGGGAGAATGTTAATTATTCACTTCAGGTGCAAGGGCCAACTACATGAGCCCAGTGAGCAGGAGCCCTGCCATACAGCAGCTGTTGTGAAAATCCCTGGGGCCTGAGTTGACTCCTGGTCAGTATCAGTCAACAGTGAGATGGGCTGTAAAAAGAGCAAATGAATCTTTTATTTTTAAAAACAAATATCTAGGCCAGGTGCGGTGGCTCATGCCTGTAATTCCAGCACTTTGGGAAGCCAAGGTGGGTGGATAACTTGAGGTCAGGAGTTTGAGACCAACATGGCCAACATGGTGAAACCCCATCTCTACTAAAAATACACAAAATTAGCTGGGCGTGGTGGTGCACCCCTATAGCCCCTATAGTCAGGAGGCTGAAGTGGGAGAATCTCTTGAACTCAGGAGATAGAGGTTGCAGTGAACCAAGATCGGGCCATTGCACTCCAGCCTGGGCGACAGCAAGGCTCTGTCTCAAAACAAAACCAAACAAACAAACAAAATGTCTAATTATAAAACCAACACAAGCTCATTGTATTAAATTGGGAAAAGCAGAAAAAAGGAAAAAATTAGGTACATTCTCACAATATCAAAACAATGTCTTTTAAGACATGATGTTTCAATTCCGACTTTTCCCATGAACTTTTTTATTAATTGTTCCCATGCATATAGCATTCTGTAGGTGGCTTTTTTTTTTTTGGCTAAAGATTATGGTGTAGACATTTTCCTGTATTATTAAACAATTCTTTATAAGTATAATTCTTTATTATTTTTACTGAGTAAGGACACACTGATCTTAGTGCAGCTTGGCGAGTTTTGATATGCATACATGCATGTAACTCCCACTCCCGATGAAGATGATAAAAGATATCCCTATCACTTCAGAGGGTGCCTTTTGCTCCGCCCAGAGGTAAGGGCCACTCTGTCTTCATAGAGATTAAATGAGCCTATCTTTAACTTCTATAAATAGAATTACAGATACTGTCTTCTTTCCCATCTGGCTTCATTCATTCAACAAAATACCCTTAATTATATTTAACAGAGTTCTGTCATTAGACAGTCGGGCTCTTCCCATTGTTCAGTCATGTGAGCAGTGACACACTGATTGTCACCATCAGTGCTCTGACATCCCTGTCAAGAAGGACACTCTTCCTGTTCCTAGAGCCACCTTTACCAGGAGAGCCAGAGAGTCCCCATGATCCTCACAGAAATAGGAAGAATCCAGTGCCACACTTTGTTATCCACGTGCCTCAGCAATGACGCTTGGGTCCTGTGACACACACCAGGGGACAGCCTATTTACCTTCTGCCTCAGACACCTGTCATCATGGATGGGTTGGGAACTCACCATGCTGCTGTCTCCATCCCTGCCTCAGTCCTCTAGACCTTTCCCAGGGTAACCCACTTCCCAGGCCATGGACCACATCCCCCATGGGGATTTATGCAGTTCATCAAACCAGGTGGACACGTGCAGGCTGTCTACCTCACGGATTCATTAGATAGGCTCAAACCTGGTGGGAGCCCCTTAGCTCAGCTGAGAAGTCTTCTGTATGCATTTAGGGGATTTCTTTCAGATCAGTGTCTAGGCATGAGGCTAGTGCAATGTAGGTGCAGTAACAGATGTCTAAGCTAACAGTTCAACAATACAATAGACTCACTGTGATCTTACGTGAATCAGATCACACCTGGAGCTCTATACTCAGCTCTGCACATAACACGAGATTATGTAGGACTTTTCTGGTTGTCCCAGAACTAGCAACTATGGCCTAAGGCTGAAGGCAAAGAAGTGTTATGTACTCACAGTTCCAAAGAAAACCACTGACACTTGGGCTCAGACACCTCTCCCAGGGCTTACTAGAAGAAGACAGCACCAGCCCTGTATCCACACCCATCACATCAACTCCTCTCACCCCAGTCTGTATACAGAGGCAATTAGGATAACGACTGGACTGTAGAAGTGGGTAGGATTGGTGGGGAAGAGAGTGAGGACCCCTCTCCTCAAAACTGAGGAAAGGGGCTCTGAAGAAACCATATGAAAAATGGGGACTTGCAAAAGGAGAGGCCAGCATGAGTGGGGCCCCCACTGGGCAGCAGACAAGATGAGCATGGGGAGTGGGGATTGGAGAGAGGTGATAGGGGTAGAGATAGGATGTGGAAGTGAGGCTGCAAGGATCAAGAGTGCCCCTGGGTCAAGTGGCTGCCACAGGAGGGAACTGGGTAGGAACTGTCACATTGGGTCCTACTTTCTGGGTGAGACGAGCCCGGCACCCAGAAAATGGTGAGTTGGAAGAAGTCAAATCAAAGAGAGATTTTGCATGTCTAGATCCATATGGAGCCCCCACCATCTCTAGGCCCTTGGATGTGACCACACAGTGTGCCTGCCACTCTGGGGCATCTTGGCCAAAACAGAGTGGACTGTGGCAGTGACCAGTTAGATAAAGAGGTTCAGGCACACCTTGGTGAGATTGTGAGTTCAGTTTCAGACCACCACAATAAAGCAAATATCACAAAAATAACTTTTTTGGTTTCTCAGTGCGTTTAAAAGTTGTGTTTACCCTATACTGTAGTCTATTAAGTATGCAATAGTATTATGTCAAAAAAAGCAATGTGCGTACCTTAATTAAAAATATTTTAGTGCTAAAAATGCTAACCTTCATCTGAGCCTTCAGCAAGTCATAGTGTTTTTGCTGAAGAGGATGGAGCTCTTGTTTTGATGTTGATGACTGCTTACTGATCAGAGTGGTGGTTGCTAAAGCTGGGGGTGGCTGTGGCAATTTCTTAAAATAAGATGACGATGCAGTTTGCCACATTGGTCGACTCTTCCCTTCACAAAAGATTTCTCCATACCATGTGACGCTATTTGATAGCATTTTACCCAGTTCTTTCAAAATTGGAGTCAATGCTCTCAAACCCTGCCACTGCTTTATTAACTAAATTTATGTAATATTCTAAATCAATTGTCATTTTAACCATGTTCACAGCATCTTCACCAGGAGGAGATTCCATCTCAAGGGACCACTTTCACTGCTCATCTGTGAGAAGCAACTCTTCATCTGTTCAAGTTTGATCATGAGAGTGCGGCAATTCAGTCACAACTTCAGGCTCCACTTCTAGTTC